AGTTAAATGGACGATGATTGAAGCGTTGTCTGCTGTGAGATTACTGAATGGTTGAATGTTTGACAAACCAGCTTGATGGGATAACTTAGTCAGTCATTTGATTTAATGATGAAGTATGGCTGAAATAGTGTTAACGTGTATGCATCATTAAAGGTAACAAAATGAAAACAAATGGAAACCAAACATCGATAAAACAATTATAGAATCGTTATTGAATTGGAATAGTTATTTAAAAACGTACGTGATCACTTAATTATATTTTCATAAATTTCTATAAATCAAACTATTGTATTTTGCCATCGCAAATACACAAGCTAGTATTCATGGCAGAAAATCCGTCCTTGTCTGAGTTGGGTTTTCAAGCAGCGCCCTCTAGTGTAAATATATTTCACATTTATCACGATTCGCAATAAAATGGTAATTAAAAATGTTTGAAATACCCTGACATCGTATTGGATAAGTAGCAATGCAATATGGGTGGCAATCTAAAACAATACCTCATATTTTAGACACGTTTTAATTCCCGTGAACAATCCGGCGAAAAATAGCCAGTAAGCTATTTTTGCTTATGTGATCATATGGGCAGCACGGTGGATTGCTGTTTAGTAACGTAACACCACAGCCGTATGTGTGTGTTTATGTTTTGGCTTTTTGGTTGGTTTGCACCTTCTCTCTCCTCTCAGCCGCCCAAAGTAGTATTTTTCAATATTATAGGCGACATAGGCAGCGGTCTGGGGCGCCAACTCCCGATTGACTTGCTAGCCAATTTCACTTTGCCTCGGACTGAAGGCGTGATCGCTTAGGGCGTCACATCGGCTAGGACCCGTATTGGATGGATAAATGTGGGGTTAGAGTTAAAATGAACTTTTTTTGACAGCCCGCTGAGTGCGTAAACCAGCAGCGGTACAGACAAGGGAGTCAATTCACCCAACGCTCACACACGGAGCTAGACGCCAGCAACACACGCATTCTAAGGCAAACATTGCATGGGGTGCCCCACTTACTAATTACACTGAATGCACAGGTACACAGCCGTGAAATTACAGAATTGATACATTTATGTGACTTTGCAGTGTGGCACAAAGCATGCTGGTCATCCGCTAAATAATTTACCCCATAAGCAGCCCCCTGGCACCACACTGCCCTCACCTGAGGAGTCAGTTCTTCCAGTAGCCCCCAAGTCCCCCAAATGCAGCAGAGGCTGGTCTCTGGCATACCCTCCTCTTCTGGCATGTCCTATTCTGCCACCGCTGCAGTGGGGTGAGGTCAGGCCAGGGGGTGATACAGCGCTAGGCGATCCCTGTGTAGGACCACAGTCTTTTGCTCAGGCAGCTGCATGCAATAAACAACATTAGAGAGCTGCTGCAGGACCTGCCCCAGTCCGCTGCAGTGGCTGTTCTGCTTGGGTCTTTATTTGCAGATGGGGCAGGACACCGAAACTGCCAAAGTCTTGCCCGCAGCTTTAGGCATCGTAGGTGCACTTCTGTCATTGCACCTTGGAGCTGTCGGGTCAGCTCACGCACCACCCTCAGATATGCTCCACAGATACCCGATAGTCAGAAATGAATTTGAGGTTGGGGGTTTCGCCTAAAGGGAGGGAGCTCCCTTCAGTCCCTTCATACTCCTGCAGCACCTCCAGCCAGCTGTACCTCAAAAGGAGTCACTTTCAGCCGTTAGGGGAGCAGTTATTCTAGCGCTCCCTCCTCAATGTGCTTTAGGTGGTCCCTGTCACCATGATCCACTTCCGGCCACCATCTTCCCAGAGGATCACCATGTCCACACTATGAGCCCCCAGACAGAACATCAAGTCCAGTCTGTTGATGCAGGAGTCATGGCTATAGCTCAGGTGCACCTCCAGCTCTGTAGTCAGTATGATGCCTGAGTCATTCTTTGTTGTCGAAATAGAATAGCAGTTTTGTAATAAGGAAGTAAGTGATGACACCAAACACTGGGAGCCCAGGTGTGTGACGTTTTGATCTCTGCTTTGTGGGGGAGGAAACGAACCCAATAAATAGATTATGTTCAAAAGAGGGATAATTTTTGCCATGTCAACGGATTGGTGAAGGCAATTGAAAAACTTCTTTGAATTTGTATTCATTTTCACAGTTCCTGAATGTTTTTTTGTTTCGTGTGGTTTCTTGATGCCCTGTTTTTTTTACATCGTAAACAATAATAATTTACAGTCTGCATCCCCATTTTCGAAATAAATAAATAAATAAAATCATTTTGTTTCGCCACTAGAGGGGGCCCTGTGAATATGAATGAATAATCCTGCCGGAGTTCAGACCCGATCCGAGATCGGATCAGGCTGTCAATAGAGAAAGCGCCTTCCGAGGATGCGCCGCTCTGGAGGTTTTGGTTTTGAGAAATGCAGACTGTGCAGCTGGCAGAGCTCCTACTGGGACTCACATTCTTGGTCAAGGGATGCAAATATTTGGGGTACAAGATTTTTGCACTAAAGCATGCCCTGTTAATTATTTGAACGATAACTGAATACACAGACCTTGACTGAGTTCTTTCCACTTTCATTAAACCCAGATGTGTTTCAGGACTAACCCGAACTGCACTACAGCAATATCAAGACAAATCAAATATTACAATATTTCTGGGAAGTGTCAGTTTTAATACAAAAAACAGTATGTTTGTTTTTTGGGGAGACCTTCCAAGGTCACAAACTCCACCTCGTTCTGGGGGAAGCCCAGACATTTCCTGGCCAGCTGGGGGAGATCAGTCTCAGGTTCCATCACTCGTGAACAAGTTCCAGAGCACTTACAGCTACTGAGACCTACCCCTGGAGCCTGGCCTGGGTGTGGTGTTCACTGAAAAGGCTCATATGGTGAGCCTGGAACCTATCCCAGAAAACATAGGGCACAAGGCTGGGTACACCCTGAACAAGATCTCAGTCTGTATTACCCATCCATCTTCCAATTGCCGGTCAGGGTCAGTGTAACAGGGAGAGCAGCAGACAAGGCTGCAGGATGCCAGGTCATTTTAGAGATTCCGTGGATGTTTTGTTCTGTGGGATTAAACCAGAGTATTCGGGAGAAACCTGCGTGGCAGGGAAATGACATGTCAGTTCCACAAAGACACAGTGGAGGTGGGATTCGAACCTACCCAGCAACCAATCCATAATTATTATTAATTATTATATTATATAATAATAATAATATTTGTTGTAGTAGTGGTCCTCCTACATTCACTTTTAATTGTTTCCACTGAAAAGTATCTCTTACGTGTATACATATTAAACGGTAACTACATATTACTATACATTTCGGACTGTTATATTAAATCGACTTTTTTAGTCCGCAATAAACCCGGATTGACGCTTCTGGTCAATGGAGCAGTAGAGAGTTTGATATTGGAGGTACACAACTTAATAGGGGGGAAAGATTAATAAGTAATTTATAGGGGGAAAATGAAGCCTATTTAAATATTGGTGGGTACGAGCCCCATCAACACACACACACACGCACGCACACACACACTCTTCGGTTCCTACGTCCCTGCTTCTGGCCACTAAAATGAGAATTTGCAACCCCCCGGCCGATAGCAGGGGGGTTCGGCCGGCTGCCGGTTGTCAGCCGGAGCGGCTGGCGTCATACGCCGCGGATTCCCCGGCATCACAGCCAAAATGGCGGAGCTGTGAGCGGGGTTGGCGCTACCATGAGCCAGCGGAGCATATTAATGCTGCAATAAACGCGTAGGAGCTAAATGATGAATCCGCGGCTGTAGTCGGAGCAGCGCACATTGTGAGAGGACGCGGATCCAGCTCTTTTCTCTGCGCCGTGAGTATGCTGCCGTGCATAGAGGTCGCAGCTCCGGCTACGGCTTGACTCTGCTCAGCGCGGCCCCGCGGTCCCTGCGCCGGGCTCGGTCATCGGGGACGCGGATCATCAGCGCTTAACGGAATCGGTGCGCCTCGCGTTTTAAACAGGTTTCTCATTGTTACCGTGGGACCTGAGCAAGGTTTATATTGCAGACGGCTCGGTGGGTTGCGGCAGTAACCTTAATGCACAGCCTACCGGTTTAGATGGGCTGATGCGATCATGGCTTTAATAACATGTTGAATAACATGACATCTGGTGAATTTTTACTGTGATTTTAATGTCTGGTTCGATATCAGCATTTCTTGAATAGATGGACAGATAAATAGGCTAGGGATTTTATACTTTGTTCTGCCTGGGTCAGGTTTAGCTGGGCGTGTGGGAATTGGAAATAGAGGCTAGTGTTCAACCCCCCCCCCCCCAAGCCCGCGCTGCTCGCCGCCGGCCGGAATAAACCCATAATAAATAATAATAATAATAATAATAATAACAACAGGGGACGCCGGATTCACTGCTTTGCTGGCTTTAACCTCAGCTTCTAGCTTTAACGGTTATCGCCGTGGTCAGTGGCGGCCGATCAGTGCGAATGTGATGCCCCAAACCTTTTCCCGTTAACGCCGATGCGCTCCAGATGTGCGGTGGGCGCGGGCACGTGTCCGCGCACGCCGGGGATGGGCTGAGCGGGGGGTCGGCATGGGGGTCAGGGATTCAAGTGAAACTGGATACCGTGCATGGCCCGGGCGCCTAAATACGGCGTGTCACAGATGGTGGACAGTGAAGGTTATTTTTAGCTTGCTTTCGGGCAGTCGTATAGGGGACAGTGCTAATCATTATGACAGTGCTAATAGCAGTCGGGAAATGCTGATCACAATGTGATTGAACATTCGGTTGTTAAAAACCGTTAGAAATACGGGAATAGCCATTTGAGCTCTTGTGATGATTAAATTTGAGTCAGGCAATTAAGCACCCTGTCTTAATCTAATCCTTCGGGATGTTCCAGCGGATTAGGATGTAATGCAGCAATTCACGAGTTGCGAGTATTTTGTGCAAAGCATTGGTGATTCCAGCTGCGATAGAAATGCATCTCATCGACAATAATACTTTGGCATGTTGCTCATTAGATGTACGGCGAGAGAGTAATGCATTAAAAGTTCCTCCCGTGTTTCAGCTACAGAGGCTTACTTCCTTTTGTCAGATTTGTGTCGGGGTGTCTAGTAGGCTTCCTGACATTGTTTTGGTTTTCATGTCCTCATAGAGAGAGCAGTTATCCGCAGAGGCCGGGCAAAGGCTTGTCTGGACACATCATGCGTTATGCAGATTCACTGACATAAATACACGGAGAAGGCATACCCCTGTGATCTGACAGGCTCAGCTGCTCCCTCCCAGTAAACACAAGCCGTCCCCGGACCCGGATCGGCTGAGTGAGCTGGCAGTCCGGAGAGGAGCTGTGAGGGACTGCAGAAGGACTCAAAGGAAAACAGGAGGGAGGGCGCAGAAACTCCCAGTGTTAGACGGGAGTCTAACAGTCTTTGCAGGACGCGGTGAATGGAATGAATTCAGGGTACGACCCGCCGCGGAGGGAAAACTTAGAGGTGAGATCCGCTCGCACAGGTGAAGTAACGACAGCGGCTTTAGGCAGTGCCAACACCTTTAGGGCGACCGAGGAGGCCGGACAGAGCAGCTCAATTCGTTTTTGTCATGCGCTGCACGCAAAACGAGTAATACGGAGATGGGAGTCGGGGGTGAGTATGCTGCAGGGACCTGCATCTCCCATCGCTGTCCCCGCAAATCAGTCCAAGCCCTTGAAATCAGTGCAGTGTTTTATAGAACAGTGGAAAATGTGCGTGTCATTTGTTTATAGGCAAAACATATTTGTATGATGTACGAAACATGTAAAGCGAGCATTAGGAGAACATAGCATTAAATGAGAAGATGGCTTTATGGTAAATGCTGATAATTACACAAATTTGGATAATCAACACTAAATAAACTTAAGCCTAATAATATCAGCTAACTGTGCATTATCCTTAAATACATTCCAGAGGACATGTATCTGAAGATACATATGGTTATTAGATTAACTCCAAAGCGATGTGGTGAAACTGTAAACAATGTTAAAAAAAAAAAAGGTTTAAATGCTTATATACAATTTAAAATGTCAAACAGTAATTAGAGTGTTCTGCTAGCAGGAAACTTCATGATTCCTCATTGTGTTTGGGTGGCCTGGAGTTGCCTAAATACTGACTGTGTTTTGTAATTAATTAAATGCCCCCCACCCTCGACCTGCCTCTGAGTGCTTACGGTAGAAGTGTTTTCTCTGTCAGCTTGCAGTTTGGCTCTGTAGGTATCGAAGAAAATGACACGCCGTTCTCTGTCTGGAAGGAGTCAGCATCCTGGGAATTGAGCAGTGTGCTAGTTTTGCTTGGAGTAATTATTGGGTTTCGTGCAGTTAATTACATGACAATCTTCCCGCCGGCGTGAATTCTGCCTTATTGCCTGACCAGTCTGTGTGAGAAAACGGTAATCTGAATGAGAGCAGCATTAAGTGTTTTCCTCGGAGGGGAATATAACGATGGCTGATCTCTGGTCAGTGCACGCAGGGCACCACCACCATCCTAAAGGAGGGAGTAGGGATGCAGCACCTGAAGATATGGGCGACCCAAAGACTCTCTTAGAAATCCATCCATATTAAATTAACATGCATTGTTAGAAACAATCACCTCAACCTTCAGTATAGATTGTCTGGTGATTTACTACTTTATTCAGTTCATCTACTGCTTTTTAAAAAACAGTCACCGTGTTTGGTGTAAGCTTCTGGGGGCTGTGAGTCAAAGCTTTAAGATCAAGAGAAGAAGGGATCC